TGGAACCTGTGGACCAACGCTGGGCTCCCCTACTTATTTGATAGTCTTCTCTTTCTTCAAGCTATTTCATGTTATTCTTAGAATAAAAACAACCCTGACAGTATTATCCTAATTTCTTTATTTCATTCTCAGGAACCCCCTACATTTTTGATCAATTATTTTTCATTCTTCTCTTATTTCTTTAGCTGAAGCCTCTGAAACAACATGTATAATGCCAGCTCCTCACTCCATCCTCTTGAATTCCCAGAACAGAGCTGGTCCACCTCGCCATTTACATCGCTTGTTTAATCGTCTTGTCTTGTCAGACCCACAGACCAGCACTGGATGTCTCCACCACCCAGTATTCATACCAGTTAATTTCATATCCCTTTGTATTGCTGTTCTGAGAAACATAAGCCAACCCTGTCCATAACTGACTAACATTATGACCTCCACAGAATGCCCTAGTGCTCCCTAGATTCCTCGCCCCCCAAAACAGCCCTGTACCTGTGTTTCATATCATTAGTAATTTAAGGTATTTATGCCATTTTGTGGTATATATTCCATTTTCATATTTTATTCCTTTAGTCAAACCTCCAACACAGTGATAATAATGAGGTTATCTCGTTCTGCCCTCTGAAACCACCAGAGCATCCCTGACACCCTCCAGACTAGGCATGTGTCCTGAAATACCCCCAAATGTGCTCTGTGACCCACCCAAGGCAGCCCAGAGATCTCTCTGCCAGTATTTATACCAATATCTTAACGTTCTTGTCTAATTGCTGTCATTTACTACTTTCCACATCAGTATTAATGAGGCTTCGTCTTGTTTTTCACAGTGACCTTGCTTTATTCCATGTCTGTGTTGATAGCTTTACATGATTCTCTGCATAAGTAGTTCATTACTACATGTATCTATACTAATTTAGTCTGCCAACATTTAGATCAGTTACTTCATTTTTTTGTCTTACTGCAGTAGCTAATCTCTAAAACTATATCCTAGCAGCCACCCCAAAACCCAAATGTTAACCTGTGGTTCTCTGAGCCAGGAAGAAAAAGGTGGTACAAAAGAAGGAATTATGGAGTGGGGAGTTAGAGATGGGGAGAAACTTGGGAGGTGGAAAAAAAGGAGGTGGGCTGGGGATTTAGCTCAGTGGCGCTGCACCTGCCTGGCAAGTACAAGGTCCTGAGTTCAATCCCTGGTACCAAAAAAACAAAATCAAATAAAAGAAAGGGAGGAGGTATAGACAGGAAAATAGAGGATACCACAAACTGAGAAGCAGATGAGTGAAATGGGAACAAGTAGGGAGATGCCAGAAGGGAAATACCCATCAGCATCCTCCTTCCACCATGCCCTTTTCCTCTAAAGCCTATGATTCTGTCTTCTCCCTTCTTAGAATATCATCCGTAAGGTGAGTGGCCAGAAGTTCGTCTACAAGTTTGTGTCCTACCCTGAGGTTGCACGGTGCTCCACAGAGGACTGCCCACCCCAGCCTGAGGTGTCTATAACCTCTACTGTGGCAAATGTGGCCCCTGCTGCTATACATGCAGCCCCTGGAGACACTGCCTCCGGAAAGCCAGGCACACCCAAGGGTGCAGGAATGGCAGGCCCAGGCGGTTTGGCACGCAGCAGCCGTAATGAATACATGCGCTCAGGCCTCTATTCCACCTTCACCATCCAGTCCCTGCAGCCACAGCCGCCCCCTCATCCTCGGCCTGCCTCGGTGCTCCCCAGCACCACCCCTGCAGGAACAGCAGTGCCCCCCTCAGGGAGCAGGAGCACCAGTCCAAACCCCTTGGAGGCCTGCCTGGAGGCAGAAGAGGCCAACCTTCCTCTACAGGTGAGTACTCAAATGTGGAAATTCAGTGGAGGCAGTGAAGAGGGGAGATGCACATTCTGAACTGAGACATGGGACTGGTAGGAGAAGAGACAGAAGTCCTGTTAAGGGCCATAATGGTGGAAGAAGGAACAAAGACAGTGCCTTTAGAAAGGGGTGGGGAGGAGAGCTATGCAAATTCTGAGAAGGAAGAGGGAGAATTAAGTGTGCTACAATTAGTAGTTGCCCAACGTGGAGTACATGCCCTGAATATAATTACTTAATGCACTGGTTCTTACTGATCAGTGTTCATCAGAATCACCAGGGTAGCTTGTTAAGCCAGATTGCTCAGACCCACCCCCAGAGTTTCTGATTATGAAGATCAGAGGATGAGATGCAAAAAAATTGCATTCTTAATGAGTTTCAAAATGAGGTAGATCCTACTGGTCTTTAAAGTAAAAAAAAAAAAAATGTATTTTTGGTACCAGGAATTGAACTAGGGGCCTTACGCTTGCCAGGCAGGCACTACCACTGAGCTACATCCTCGGCCCTAAAGTAAATGTTTGAGAACCACTGTTCTCAAGAATGAGGCTGATATCAGGAGCCCTTCCCCTATCAGATTTTCACCCCAGGTAAAAAAGACCTGCCCCAGAGGAAGCTCTCCTTCTTTTAAGAAGTCCCATTTCCTATCAGCGGACCTGCCCAGATGGGTTAGTCATGCTCCCTGTACCAAATCCCATCTTTCCAGGGAAATCATTGAGTGGCATACAGGAGAAAGATTCTCTCCTTCAACAATTCTTTTGTTCCCTCTCTTTTCCTAGGTCATCCTGACTCCACCTGAGGTTCCAAACCTGAAATCAGAAGAGTTGAATGTGGAGTCAGGTTTGGGCCGGTCACTTCCCCCAGAAGTGAAGGTGGAGGGGCCCAAGGAAGAGTTAGAAGCTGCTAGGGAAGCAGGGGTTGTGCCAGAAGCTGCCAAGGCTGAGCCAGAAGTCCCTCCTTCGGAGGGTGTGCCGGCCCGGCTGCCCTCTGTTATGGAGACTACAGCACAAGTGGGTGGCCACACGGCCTCCACCCCTGAGATCACTCAGCCACAGAAGGGTCGGAAGCCCCGGGACCTGGAGCTTCCACTCAGCCCGAGCCTGCTGGGTGGACCAGGACCCGAACGGACTCCAGGATCAGGAACTGGCTCTGGCCTGCAGGCGCCAGGGCCGGCACTGACACCATCCCTGCTACCTACACATACATTGGTGAGTACTTGTAGAGGGGTGTGGCTGGCAGCTGGGAGGGATGGGATTGGCACATAATGGGTGATAGACATCCACTACCCTAGGGCAAATGTGGTTATCTCTGAGGAGGGTAGAACTTTTCAGGATGATCAGCTGTGCTGAGGCTTGGACTGGGATATGACTTTAGGAAAGGCAGATCTGGGGACTTTGTAGGGGTGGGAGTAAGAGTCCCAGAGGCCTTCTATGGGAGCTGTTTCTGGGTGGGGTGGGACCTTATGCTCTGGGATTTGCATAGACCCTGAGCTATTGGGATGGTAATTTATGAGTCTTGAGAGTATCCTGTGTTTAGAGTCTGGTTGGGTGTCTTGTCCAGTACGGTCTCAGCAACAGGAAGTGGACTCTGAGGAGTTGGGGAGGGGTGTCTGTAGAGTGGGAGAGACGTCATGGACATGGCTTTAGTAGTTATAGTCTCAGTCTATAATCTTGAAAAGTGACTGTAGACATCTGGAATGGGGAAAATGTAGTGGGCTGAGACCAAGTTCCTTTCATCTCCCACACCTGCCTTCTGCTAACTTGATCTCTGACCTCCCTCTCCGTGCAGACCCCGGTGCTGCTGACGCCCAGCTCGCTGCCCCCCAGCATTCACTTCTGGAGCACCCTGAGTCCCATTGCACCCCGTAGCCCAGCCAAACTCTCCTTCCAGGTAAGATTCCCTCTCCCCACCTTGGAGAGGGTGAGAAACACTACCATGGCTCCCATCCGTGACCTCTCCGTTTTTGCCCTCAGTTTCCGTCCAGTGGCAGCGCCCATGTGCACATACCTTCCATCAGCGTGGATGGCCTCTCGACCCCCGTGGTGCTCTCCCCAGGGCCCCAGAAGCCATGACTACCACCACCACTGCCCTTTCTGGGGTCACTCCATCCATGCCCCTGGACTTCTCTCCAGCCAGCCATCTCAAGGAGAACCATAGTTCTTCATCTAACAGACTTGTGCTCTGGTTGTGGTGGGGTGGGATTCCTGGGAAGAATGATCTCTTATACTAACTCATCCGTGGAAAACACACTATTTCTCTCTTCTTCGTCAGTCCCCCAGTGGCCGCCCTTATACATCTCCTACTTCCATGGTAGGGATGGTTTATTTATTTATTTTTTGAAGGCCACTGGGAGGAGCCTGACCCAACCCTTTTAGGGGGGTGGTTAAGACATCTCCCCCATCTCCCCACTTTTTTTTCCCCAAGGCAAGACAATCAGGGTCTGGCTTGAGAAAGACCTTTCTTTATTTATTTCTCGGCCTGCCCTTGGGGAGATGAGGGAGCCCTGTCTATATTTTGGGGTGTGGGTAGAAGAGCTAGTTTGTTTTGTTATTCCTGGCCATACCCAAGGGTCCAGGAAGAATTTGTATGGTTTCTTAGTTTGGGAGTCCTGGCCAAGGAGGAATTACACCCTTGGAATTTGAATTTCCACCTCTCCAACCTCTCTCTCAGACACCTTGTCCTTTTATCAACTAACATTTTGGCCAGAGATCAATACCCCTTTTGTTCTTCTCCCCCCTGAGAAGCCATTCCTTTGTCTGCCAAACTTCCTGGGGTCCTGAATTTGTATGGTTTCTTAGTTTGGGAGTCCTGGCCAAGGAGGAATTACACCCTTGGAATTTGAATTTCCACCTCTCCAACCTCTCTCTCAGACACCTTGTCCTTTTATCAACTAACATTTTGGCCAGAGATCAATACCCCTTTTGTTCTTCTCCCCCCTGAGAAGCCATTCCTTTGTCTGCCAAACTTCCTGGGGTCCTGCCTGTTACCCCCCAAAA